TATGCGTGTGTGTATGCGGGCGTGTATGTGTGTGTATGTATGTGTGTATGTGTGTGTGTGTGTGTGTGTGTGTGTGTGTGTGTGTGTGTGTGCCTCTCCATATGTGTAATAACTGTCCAAGGTTTTTCATAGGAATAAGTCCACCTAAGGGAGTGAGGCTCAGTGACAACGTGGACAATATTATGTCTACCAATTTGTTTGCATCCTTGAGAGATGAATAGACCGTCAACTAAAAATAAAGGTTTCTTTTTATGTCTTTTCTTCTTATTCTACATTCTATCAAGAATTATTAATTCTTTCTTTACTTGATGTGTTTTTCTCCCTCCCCCCTCTTCCCCCCTTCCCCCACCCCCTACTAGTTTAAATTTGATATTGGAGCGATTCCTGAAAATCTATCAGCATGACTAAACGGCTCACAGTAGCTTCGCCACCCTACAAGTCACCCCACCCATTCCTCTCTGCCCAGCGAACAGTGCAAATGCAATTTCACTCTCCACATGGCCAACAATTTGGAGACACTTAGCTCAGCAGCGATATATCAAGCTGGTTTACAGCCATCAAACCAAACATCTCCACCACCCTGCCCGCTCAGAAAGCAGACATCATGTCGTAAATAACAATCAAACCTTAGGAGCGGAATTTGGTGTCGTGCTTGTGCACTCATGTTATATTCTCTTGTTGATTTTTTTTTCGCTTTTGCTGTTGCAGTTGTCGTTGCTCACAGTCAAGATGGTTCCATTTGTCGTCAAGCAGCTCAGCCTTCCTTAATACAGGCGAAATTGTCTAAGACGGCCACCCATTGTTAAGAAGAAACATTTTCTTAGTCAAGGGGGTGTCTTACACAATGTCATGATAAAAAAATCAGCAGAAAGAGAGCTATAGAAAAAATAGCTTTTCTAATATTTCTAGACTTTTTAAAAAGAAGGGAATTGTATCAGAAAATGGAAAGCATGGGGGGTGGGGGGGGACAAACAGAAAGAGGACGGTTAATGTCACAAGTGTTTAATGCATTTGCCGAGCCTGGTAATTATGCAATGTTCGATAGAGCGACGTCAAAACCGTCGTTGCAAAAGAACTGGGGCTTACATGAGAATGGCATGGTAAGTGATGACGTTTTTGAAGCACGGGGTTAACCAAGGAAGATACCCTTGCGTTAGAGCGGTGCTGAACGACATACAGAGCCAAAAGGGAAAAGAACTAACATTTACAGGTATAATGGACGCAAATGATCACTCACCAAACCATTAAAAAATACACACAGGAAATAATTGGGGGAGGGGGGGGGTCAAAAACGGAAAACAGGCTTTCGTTTTCAGGACAGCTTTGTTTATTTCTTTCCGAGAGCAATCTGTTGTGAGCGCTGAGTAATGCTTCCGCCTTCCATACGGCAAACTTCGTCGCTCAACACTCAGCATGGACGTATGCTAATGGGACTGCATCTCTCGTCTCTAGCTGCAGATGCCCTTCTGAATGGCAGGCAGGACAGGAGAGAGAAAGAGAGAGAGTGAGAGAGAGAGAGAGCGAAAGAGAGAGAGGGGGGAGAGATAGAGAGAGAGAAGGAGAGGGAGACAGTGGGGAGGGGAGAGAGGGGGAGGGGAAGAAAAAGAGAGAGACAGGGGAGGGGGGAGACAAAGAGAGAGATGGGGGAGGGATGCGGAGAATGGGCAGGAGGGGGTGGAAGATGGGTGCGAGAAGCTACAGTTTCCCCCAGGGAAGCCGAACAGAAGGAGACGCCGACAGATTGTGTCCAGCCTGTAAGTCTAATATGAAAGCATGGAGAAATCAATGGGGGCCCAGATTGTCGGGGGGTCCCTCGGCTTGGCGGGCCTCATTTGAAACACAATGATGGACACAGAATTGAACGCTCGATGACGGCCCAATGGGACCCTCGCGTGGCGGGGACAGATTCCTCACAACCCAAGAGCTGGCAACACACGGGGACGAAGCTGCAAACATAAATGTAAATCCTCGTGCTCGGCTCCCGAAGCAAACACAAAGGCAATTATGCAATTATGTCGACTGGGAAAAGAACCTGTCTTATCCTTGCAACGTTGATGGCGATTTGTGGTCCTGGCGGTACAGAACGTATTGTCACTCCGCTGCGGGCTGCCCAATGGGTCATGAGCCCGGCAATGAGTTAAACTTGTCTCTGCTGGAACTGAGTTCACCCCCGTGACCACGGAAAAGATTGGCAGATTTTTTTTTCTTGAGTAATACCGTCGTAGAATAAGTAGAAGACCTCTTTTACAGCCTTTCCTTATTCACAGAGGCGCGGTGGCTACCAATTTCTGCCCCCCCCCCTTTGCCTTCACCCATCCCTTCCCATCCTATGGTACCACCAGTCGAAAACACGAGCTCACTTGAGGAAAAGACTCACACTATTTTATTACGTTGGCAACAGTCGGGGTTGACGGCGCAATAGAAAAACTGAAATGGATCTATTATCAATATAACTGCCTCTGAGTTTACTAGTGCATGCATCCAAGTAAGATGATAGTTCTAAAAAGGAAACCAACTCAAAGCAACTGTATTAACCAGACAGAGGTTTTTGATGTTCAGTGTTTTCCTTGAACAGCAGGGCCTCAACATATTATCCATTTTTACAAAATTTCAGTTTTCTGATTGCAGTGCTACGAATGTGGCATAAAACAATGTCTAACCGAAGTGTCAATCTTCACTAGAGGAAAACATTCTAAAGAACAGAGCAGTTAGAGCTAAGGCTAAGATAAAAATTAAGAATAGGGTTGTTATGGAGAAATAACAAATTTATATGGGAAAATCCCATCCAAACTGTCTAGCAATTGGGATAAAATCCATCATTCAACGCTTGTACTTATCTTATATAATCGTCCTTTTGTCTACCCTCTTCTCTGTCTGCTGTGTGAAGCAGAGCATAATTTTAAGCAGAGCAAAGATAGATTTATCGATAAGCAGGTTATCTACAGACAGGCAGATAAACATACATACGTGCAGAGAGAAAAACAAAGGAAAGGTAGATAGATAGAATTTAAGATGGAATAGATATATAGATAGATTGATATTGTTGATTTGGTGTAACGACAGAGAGAGAGAGAGAGAGAGAGAGAGAGAGAGAGAGAGAGAGAGAGAGAGAGAGAGAGATACAGAGAGAGAGAAAGAGAGAGAGAGGGGAGGGGACAAAAAATTAGAAATCCAGAAAGACGCAAAAGAAACAGACAAAAACGCTCACTAGATACGACTGTGCCTACATCCCACCAGACCCCATGCCGAGCTAACGGCGGATGGCGTGACAACAGGCAATTTTCCGCCGTGATGTTTGTGTCCGTCTAAAGGTGATCTCTGCCCAGACATCTGAAAAATCTCAACCACCCACCTCTTCTACTTTAGTTTCCCCATTCTTTTGTTTAAATTCATCGGACATCTACGACTTTAGTGCAACGTCCTGATAACGTTAGCTTACCTTCCTTTGCATACCCCCTTCTTCCTTGTCGGAGGCAACCAAAACTTTTTGTGTTCTTTTTTTCAGGGTGCGTGTATGTGTGGTGGTGTGGGGGGGGGGGTGCAACCGCCATGATATATTTGAATATATTATTACGAAACTGGAATTGGTCGAACCTGAAAAACATATGAAATCATTTGCTTTCGACGCTTACACTCCGCTAAACACAGCGGTACGAGTTGTTTTCCTCAAAAGAGTTAATCATTAGTGTTGTCAATAAATATTTTTTCTACGAAAACCTGTTTTTGCCAGATAAAATGTATCCCTGACTCTCTCACTTCAGGTATTTTCAACAGGCCCTGATCACCATGAGTTGGAGATCTGATCAAGGATAAAGTGATAATTGTATATGGAATAAAGGGGAGAATTTGTGCTAACAGGAATCAGTGGCCGTTTCCATAAAAACAAAAAAACCCAAAAGACCAAAAAGACCCCCTACTATGCTTGTTCTATGTGTGAAATTTGGTAAAATTTGGTGCAGTAATAAGCGAGATAGCCTTCAGGTGTCCCCCGCCCCCCTTAAAAAATACAATTCTGAACTCTTGCCGTAAAAATCTTCCATTATTCAGAACATTTCTGTCTCCAGTAGTCTGTGTAAGGTGTGTGGGGTAAGTCAGAACGTAAGCTTTTAACACGTTACTCTCTCTTCCCGCAGTACAGACGGGTGGATCTAACAGACTGATAGGTTCATGAAGTGCTTTCTTCATTTTAAAGATTACAAACTTTTCAAACAGCATAGACCTCTCAATGTCACTTTGTAAACGTATAAAACTGGAGCAAGTCCCAAGAGGACAGTATCGATTCATCAAGATTGACATAAAAGCATCACACCCAGCTGCTGAAGGCAACAAAGTGACCTTGGTAACCAATACCTACAACAAGTCATACTTCCAAAAAATCAATACTCCATTGCCCACTGAACACATAACATCTTTGTTTAGTTTTCTGAGACATCATAGAAAAAGTTTCAAGATGCGGTGATCGGAAACAGTACACCAAAATATTATTATGTGTTGCGACTAACGAGTGGTTGAATATTGCATTTTAGTATTATCCCCGTCATAGTACAAGGGACGTTCTGTAAGCTTAGTTAATGTCGTGCAGGGCTACGAAGCGGATGGTCAAGGTTCAAGTCTCAGGTTGAGCATTCTAAGACCTGGGTCGCTTTGTAGAGTTTTTAAGACTCTGAACTCTTTTGACTTGTCTTTCCGGAGACTGGCGGAAAATGAGAATAACTTAAATGAGCATCGGTTTCAATCAGCCTACACATTCATCTTTTTGAAATAATAATGCTCTTTATCCGTATATTTGAATGGTAGTCAACACCTTGTTAAAATAATGAAGTTGAATATCTGAATTGCGGAGAGATAATATACCAATAAGTTTTACTGTTGGGTAATGTCGTGGCTGTCAGTCCAGATACTTGTGTTTTAAATTACTACAGTAAAAACTAAAAAGAAAAAATGTGACACTAACATGTGTGTTATAATAATAGTTAATGATGGAATGCCGATGTTAGCTC